TACGTGTCCCTGTCTGCACCCAACAGAAGCTGGTCTCTTATTTTGGAGGGGAGGGAACTTGTGGTTTCTTCCGTCCTGGTCTCTGTCATCTGCTCACTTTCTTCTCATATTTTTCTGTAAGATTGAGCTTGAAGTGTTTTCAGTTTTAGTTTGCATCCTCTAAATAAAGAGACGGCTTTGTGAGGCTCTCTCTTCTGAACGTTAACGTTCCACCTTCCAAAAATATAGGAGTATTTTTCAGTAAGTAAGCATGTTCCTAAAGTCACATCTCGGTGGCTTTTTTGACATTTAAGTGTCTACCGGCTTTAGCTATCAGACACACCACCTGTTCCCTGGAATAAAAATAACCATGACTGGAGTGAAATAGATAGCAGTTAAGTACTGCAGAGGAAACTTTTTACTTGAAAAAAAGGAAAATGTGCAGGTGGGTAGGTACGTGTGATATCCCTGCATTTCTTTATTACACTTTCTTGACGTATCATTTAGATGTCATTAAACACGTGTTTGCTACTAAACTCAAAAAGGGTTTCTTTTCTATCTAACATGGAAATAGTTCTCTTAAATACGCCATCTCTTTTTCTTTCTTTTATAACTGTAAATGTGACTGTGATCTGAGGCATGTTGCAAACAATTTGGAGACACTGCTGCTTTTCTGTGTTTGTGATGAACCTTGTGGATACCTGTTTCCTACTCCCCTCTTACTTTGCCCTCTTTGCCCAGCAGCATTTATTTTTTTTACTGTAAAATCACAAGCTTTTACATGGAGAGCAGTTATTTTCCCAATCCATTGGACTTTTCTCCTCCATTGCTGGAGGTCACGTTTGCGTAATGCCCTTTTGGGCAGTTGGTGCAAGAAAAGGGAATCTGATAGACTTGTACTCAGCCTGGTGCTCCCGCGGTGGGAGTTTTTCAAGGTGTCTGAGCAGCAGACAACTGTTGGGGTTTCTTCAATTCATTAATCGTGAAAAACAGGAAGAGGGAAGTTATTGGGTTTGTTTTGAAGAATCTTGTACCTTCAGAGTAGTTGAATGGATTTTTTTGTTGTTGTTGTTTAAATCTTGAATCTTCAGGTGGAGCAGATTCCTTATGTGCATCCACTCCCTCCTCCCACAGAATGAAGGCTGTTGAACTTCATCCAGTTATTTCACTCAAGTCAGTTACTTAGGATTTTTTTTTCCACGTACGCAAAAAAAAATCCCAACCAAAACAAACCATCTCAAGACCCTTAGGTTAAGTGTGGAAAATTCTGGACCAAGCTGCTGCTTCAGCAGATGAATCGTCTGGAAGGCAAGACTGTGACTACGCCTGTTCTCCTCACAGCTAGTGCCGTGGTGAGGTTACGGGACTGAGAAGTGTTGTGGTCGCTTTAGAGCCATTCAGTTTGTGGTCCTCCCAGACAACGCATCCAGCCCACTGCTGCCTGTCCTGCTGGCCCTGTAGCACCTCACCCATCGCGCTAGCCCTGCGCCGGGGCGGGTGTGATGAAGCAGGGCTGTCTTTCTTCCCGGAGGCTGGCAGGAGGCACCGACTGCAGCTGCCGGAGCAGCTTGGGTCACTCCTTTCAGCAGACCACTTTCTTCTTCCAGGCAGAGCTTGTTGGCGATGCTGTGTAAGGACATCATTGGTACTGTCCTTCAGTGAGCTAGCGTTGCTTTTAGCAGAAAAAAGAAGTGCTAAATCTGTGCTTTCATGCTCTCTTTGATTAGCCACAAGAAAATAGCTTCCCAAGCGTGTTGGGTAGGGTTTGTGTCCCCTTTGTATCCATTTATGTTCTGCATCCTCCGAGGGCTTGGCAAAGTTATTTGGTGTGACCTGTAAATGGTCAGGGGCAGGAACTGTGTGCTCCCAGCACCTTGAGGGGAAAAGACCTTGAACTGGCTGCGTTATACTTAGGAGGTACAGACAGGGATCAGCCTTAAATGACTGTGAAAAGTTCAGTGCTAATTTTACCCTTCTCTCCTAGCGAGTAGCATGTGAATCGTTGCAAAGATGGTTTCTCTGGTGGGGGGTATGTTCTGATGGGATCTTGTGTTTCTCTGCATGATCAAAACACCCTTGACGGGAAGGGGGTAAGCATCAAAAAGTTCCTGCTGTCAGACTGGTGTGGAGTGGCCTCCCATCATGATTTACCATGTGCTTTCCTGTATTTAGGCAGCCGTGAGTTTGAGGGAAAGTGGTGGAAGCTTGCCATAAGCCAGGGTAGTTAGTGGTCAGAACACACATAATTTTTGTGTGTTATGTTGATGACAAACATAACCGGTAAAGCCACAGCCGGATGCTTCTTGGGTTCAGTAGGCTGAGTTGATTTTACCTTCTCTGTTGCTTTGAAGCTAGTCCAGGAAAACATCCAATTACATGGGAGATTTTTTTTCAGAAGCACTTCAGGGATGTAGGAGCACCAGCTGTGCTGGAAGCGGACAGAACTTGTGCTTAGTATCTCATCTGCGACCTCCTCAGGAGGCTTTCATTCTGAAGAAAGGACCTTTTATGGCAGCCTGCATGGCGCACGTCGTGGTTCTCCTCAAAGCATCCAAGCCCCCAAGCCATTTGGCGATAACAGCTGAGTAAATTTGGTTGCAAAGTTTCCGCAGTAAAGTTTTTCAGAATTTGGATCTTCAAGTTCTGACCTTCTGCCAGTAAACAGACAGCAGACAACAGGTTTGCTGATGAAAACATGCCATTTTGAATAAGGAGGGAAATTTTGTAACGCCAAACATCTGAAAAGACAAGAAAAAACCGTGTGCTTGATGGGAACCTTTGGGTACTGCAGCGGGCTTGTGAAGAACATTGTGCATACGTGCTGAGCAATGGGGCAGATCAGATACTTCCCCTTCTGTTTCATATGTTAACTCTATTTTTAACTTTAAATCATTTCAAGTCAAAAATAGAAACCAAATATGAAACAGAGTATGGAGTACTGTATCCAGCTCTGGGGTCCTCAGCACAGGAGGGACATGGACCTGTTGGAGTGGGTCCAGAGGAGGGCCACAAAACTGATCAGAGGGATGGAGCACCTCTGCTATGAGGAGAGGTTGAAAGAGCTGGGGTTGTTCAGCCTGGAGAAGAGAAGGCTGCGGGGAGACCTTATTGCGGCCTTTCAGTACTTAAAGGGGGCCTACAAGAAAGATGGGGACAGACTTTTTAGTAGAGCCTGTTGCAATAGGACAAGGGGTAATGGTTTGAAACTAAAAGAAGGTAGAGTCACACTAGATAAAAGGAATACATTTTTTTGACGATGAGGGTGGTGAAACACTGGAACGGGTTGCCCAGAGAGGTGGTAGATGCCCCATCCCTGGAAACATTCAAGGCCAGGCTGGATGGGGCTCTGAGCAACCTGCTCTAGTTGAAGATGTCCCTGCCCATTGCAGAGGGGTTGGACTAGATGACCTTTAAAGGTCCCTTCCAAGCCAAACGATTCTGTGATTCTATGAAATATTTTTAAATGGGGAAAAAATTATTACAGTATATGCAAGCATTTAAGGAATATAAAATGAAAAGGAAATTGAGGCAATGAAGTCTTACACAGTGGTTTTACGTTTGTGTAAAGGAATCTGCTAGTGTAATTTGCTTTAAGGGCATTGATGATCCCAGTATGTCTAAAATAAAATCACTTAGATTTAAAATTAATTTAAATTGCAGCAAGGAGTAATTCATTACAGCAATTTGATAAGAAACATTAGGTTAAGAAACAAATGCTCCCCTGGCTCCTCTGACTTTCTTCATCGCTTCTGTCTTTCAAAGAGCGAGGAAAGGCAAACAAATTACTGCAGATGGAGTAGACCTCTCTTACGGTCCCTCCTGCATTGTGGCAGATGAAGTCTGGGGGTGCCCCCTGCATAGCACGTGTTAGCCATGAGGAGAAGAGCTGCTGTAAAGGCCTGGAAAGCATGCTTTCTCTGCGGCTAGCGCAGGTAAAGAAATTCCCTCCGCTCCCTCTTGATACACAAAAAAAAAAAAATCTTAAAAACTATGAAACCAAGGCTGGGTTGTGGATTTTTAACACTAGCGACTTTGAAACAGAAACTTCTTTTGCTTTTAAATGAGGAAGCTGTGCTTTGTTGGGGAGGGCTGCTCGGAATGGGTACATCGCTCTTTCAGCGTTTTTCTGTTACAGTAGTGTCTGTCTAGCTTCAGGCTGAGTCCGCAACATTTAGTATGAAAATAATCCCATGGAAATTAAGATTCAGCTGGGAACCGTGTGCTTGCTAAAGATAGCCGATTTCTAAAAATGCTTAGAAAAGTCCTTTTGGGGAAAAAAAAGAAGTATTTGGTTCTAAGGCTGTGGTTTGAGAGCTACAGGCACATATGTGGGACTGATGCTGTTTTACTATGGCCCTGAAAATTACTGAGAGAACTTCTAGCTGCTAAAACATTTAATTTTAACATTGTAATTTGGAGTATTGTAACATTACTGGTGTTTGCCCTGATGGTTCTATTTTAGCTATACCTCTGAAGAAATGTATTTGTCCAGCATGTGAAATATTATGCAATAGTAAAGAAAAATATGCCATCTGTGTGTTACGGCTGATCATCTGTTTTCAGCTTCACTTGGTTTTTCTGCTGAGTTGCCTGAAGCAAGACATACTCAGCCTGAATCGACTGAAGCAGACTTTGAAGTCCTGAGAATTTCCGTGATGATTCTGAAAGGTTTTGTAAGCTCTCGAAAATATTTGGAAAAATAACTTGACACTTGTTTTGTAATTAAACACGCACTTGTCAGTCTCCCTGCCTAGAAGCTTTCTTTGCGTAGTCGCTTTAGGGACGCATGAATCTACCCTTGTTTGAGAAGGAGAGGGTGAGATAGTCTTGCTTTAAAAAAACCAAACAAACAAAAAACCAAGCAAATGTAAATAAAAAAGACCTGGACAGCCTAAGCAAGGTGGAATTTACTCTGTACCCTGCTTAAGAGACTGCGTGCAACTTCTTGCTGTTAGCTTATCAAAGCGGCATGGGGCTGCTAGGGAAACCCCGTGTTTTACAGCTGCTTCATACCAGGAGAGATGTCGGTGTGGACGCGTGTGGTTCATGCGCTTCGCTGGCCCGGTGGGACGGAGCTGGTGGCAACGTGCCTGCGGGTGGCCTCCCCGCAGGGGCTGCGCTCCGCTTGCTCTGTGCGAAGGCTTCCAGCACGTTGCTGAGTACCGCTAATAATCCAGAGGCAAAGGAGCGATTCGCTTGTTTGCCCCCTCCTGGTTGCGCTGGCCACTGGCTCAAAGCCTAAGCTACTTCCCTAGAAAATGTAGTGATTTCTCCTGCACGCGTACGCTGTTTCTCTCAGAAGCGGTCTCTGCGCCGCTTGCTGCGAGCTGCGCTCTGATCCTCTCTGCCATCGTCCTGTAGGTACGTGCTCCCTGTGATCTCTGCATGCGGGAAGCAAATAAATACATTTTCCCCTTCCCAGCACATACTTTTCTCTTTTCCCTAATCGTTGTGATCAATATACCACTTAGGCTAATAGTTTGTTTGTCTCCCTGTGCCCTTTGGGAATAGAGGGATGAGAGTTCCTGCAATAACACCGTGTTCCCAGGGCGGCAAGCACCCTGCCCTGCCGAGTTGGCGAGGGCTCACAAGAGACTCTGCCTTTCTTCAAGAGACTGGTCTTGAAACACTGGAATTAAAGAGAAGTCAAGATTTATTGGAATTAAATAGAGCACAGTTAAAGCCAAAATGCTGAAAACTGGGGTTTCCGTATTGAGTGAGGGGGAGAAAACGACCTGGGCCCAAGAAGCAGGCTGAAAGCAGACAAGGCGGTGGCTGTCAGTCTGTAAGCACCAATACTGCAGTTCTCCACGATTAGGCTCTTCTGCAGAACCGCAGAAAAATTGGATACAATATTCATTACTATTTAGGTTTCCTGCACCCCTCCCTTTCTGGGATTCAGTACTGAAGCTTAAACCAAAATCTTTATGAATAAGCAAATAAAAAAATACCCAAGCACGCAGAGCTGAGGGACTCCAGGGGTTTTGTTGGGGTTTTTCCAGTAGCAGCTGTGGTGCTTTTCCCAGCCTTCATTCAGTCAGAAGGTTCTGCATCGTGCCTAAAGGCTGGCCTAGAAAAAAAAAATACTAGCTTCCTTTGGCCTTTGCTGGATGTTTTTCTGTGAGAATGGGAATTCACCTTATTACTCGCTAGGTAATGGAGAGCCTGGCACTGCTGGGGGGGGGGGGGAATTTCTGTTTCTGCACTGAGACCCTGCTGTGTAACAGGGGGTGCAGAATAGCTTTCATCCTTGAAGACGGACCTAAAGGTGCTTTGCATCCAGGAGCAGACTTAATTGCACGTAGAGTTTGCAGGCAGTTTGTTGGAACTATTGATCTGTTGACTGAGATATTGATGAGTAGCTGCTGCGTGTGTTTTCATTGCTGCCTAATGGAAGGATTAGAAAACTCACGTTTACCATCTTGAAAGCCTGTTCGCCCTGTCATACCCAAATGCAAGGTTTTGTGCAAAGGATGTCTGGACACTAGGGAAGGAGAGATGGGATTTCAAGCTCTAATCTAGTTACAGTTTGCACGTTGAAACAGTCGCGTGTTTTCTGCAGTGATACTTAAACATGGCATCTTCTTCGTGCCTCTGCCTTCCTACGCATTTGCCCCATCTTTTTTATTTTCGGGAAAAGCGCGGAACTTGTTTCCCCTCCCCTTTGCGTCTGTGTACCACCACTTTGTGTCTGTGCGGTCCTTGGGTCTGTCTCCCTTTACCTGACTTTCATGGCTATCTACGCCGACATCGGGATGGATGTTTGCCTTCTTCCTGGTCGAACCCAGTGCCCCTCTTTCAGTGGCGATAGCAGCCCTTCAGTTCCCTGTGCTTTGGTGCAAAATACTTTATAGTTCGTGCTTGATAGCTTTGTATCATTCTTGTGGTTCTGAAGATATTCTGGAAATAATTTACAACAAATCTACTTCAGCCAGATCCCCTTCCGTGAAATTACAGGCATCTAATTCCATTTTGCTTGCCCTGACATCCACGTTGCACAGACAGGTAAGATGCATGACCTACAGGAGAGCTTTACCCCTCTAGAGTGGCCTCTGGAGGGGAGACAGGCTGTCATATGTTTGTAGTATCACTCGGATGTCCCAAGTTTGGACAAGTGAGTGTCATCCTTAATGTTGTACCGAAGTCACAAGATACGTAATATTTTCAATTTCTCGATTTAAGGAGTAGCTTTATTGCATGTGTATCTTATTTTGATGCATTCAAATAGAAACAGCTGAGCCTTGTTCAGAATCACAGTAATAAGAACCAATTGTACAACATATTTCCTAATTTTGTCTTCTGTCCACAGGTCCAACAAGAACAAAGAAACCACACTGCAGAACCTGTAATAGATGACTATAAAAAGATGGGGACTCTCTTTGGCGAACTAAACAAAAGCCTTATCAGAATAGGCTTCACAAGGATGTACTTTGGAGAACGGATAGTAGAACCTGTAATAATTATATTCTTCTGGGTTATGCTCTGGTTTCTTGGCCTACAAGCTCTCGGACTGGTTGCTGTTCTGTGCCTTGTCATTATTTATGTACAACAGTAAAATTTTATAGATGCTGTTTGGATTATGTATTTCAACACTGTCACTATGTCAGTGGATTCATGTGTTTAAGTAAGTGGGTGGCATATCAAAAGCTGCAATGCTTCGAATTGCGTTTTGCTGAACTTCTAATGTTTAGGGTGAGGGGGGCTAAAATTACGCATTTTAAGCAAAGTCAGCAGTGCCCTACTACAACTCTGAAGGGCAAAAAAACAGATGTTTGTTGTATAATGGCGTCTAATGTACTGTTTTCTGCACTCTTGGGGCCTTAGTCCAAGGATTGGCTTTTTGTTCCCTCCTCCCACCCAATGTTCTTGCTTTGTATAGTGAAAATTTCCTGTCTGGTTGTAAGAGGACGCTTGATGTGAGTGTCCTGTTTCACTGCTGGGGGACTCATGTGCTGTTTGTTCCCTGAATCTGCATAATTTGCTAGTTTTTTGCTGAAAAGCTAGATCTGCACAAGGGAGGTTTGCTAACAAACCTACAACAATAAACATTCATAAGATGAATACAACTTCCCGACACAAAAGTGTCTTTGGTTAGTATAGTTTATAGCAAGCTTTCCCCCAGGAAACAAGCTATGCCAGCAAAATGCTTTTATACTAATATTAGTGACTTCACACAAGGCTTCAGCTGTTGTTTAGGAGGAATTGCAGTCCTGTATTGGCCAAATGGTCTTGATGTAGCTCTGCCTTGGTTTTGGAAATGTACTCGGCTCCTGCTGTTATTTTTCTTTCTTTGTTTTTTTTTTTCTTTCCCGCAGCCCTCCTTCTGAAGATAAATAATTGGATAATTAATGGACTTCGTAGGTAGTTACAGCTGCAGCGTTGGAGAGTTGCGATTCCAGATGGCGATGCTAGAATACTGTCTGCGTCCTCTGGGTGGTGTGTGAAGTGTCTGAACAACCAGGTAGATATCAGACCAGATCTCTTAACGCTTCCCTAATTTGCTGCAGCGTGGACCCAACGCGAGCTAGCAGCTTTGCGTACGTAAGCAAATCAGACCTATTTCCTCACGCAAGGCAAGGACGTAGCTGAAATTAGGTGGTCGTTTTATTTAGTAGTCTTAACTGATTCATTTCCATGCTAGGCAACAAAAATGCCTATCTACAGGTGCATGTCATGGGCAACACAAGTCGGGGAACAGGATCTATACATTCAAGAGTAGGTGCCAAATTCACTCTGGCTTCCCAGGAGCCACACCGGGGGTGTGTTGAATATTTCCAAGTTGAATGTGCTCATCTAAAGAAAAAACAGTAAACTGAGACAGAATCTTTACTAAATAGGCTACCAATTTAATATTTGCTGTACAGGACTTTTAGTAAGAAACTTAATTGCAAAATTGACTTCATCTATGGTAGAGTGAAATTATACATTTACTTAAAGAAATGTAGTAGAAGATGTGAAATTTACAGAAAACTACTTAACCTTTTGCAGTGACTTTTTTATTAAACATTTTTATACTAGCAGACATCAACCATAGATTAGTTGAAAATGCTGTCTTACCCAGAGACTTTTGAAGTTAAGGGGAGCTTCTCTATGGCCCCAGTCCTGGAACTGGATTCTCAAGGCCGATTTCATGCCTACATGGATCGTGTTGGTTGCTGGGCTCTATTTCCAGGACCCGTGGCCCCAGTCCTTAGAGACTTTCCCGTTAGTGAAGTAATTGTTATTTCGGGCAGTGAACGTGAAGGCCCAGCTCCTTGAAAGTCTTCATGTGCCTAAATGCCATCTGTAGACGTATCTCTGTGCTTTTTCTAATGAATGCGTAGCTACCTTCTGAGGAGCCAGGTCTCCTCTCCAGATCTTCAGATGACCTTGACTGTGGATCCAAGAG